TGTTATCTCTATAGGAGTTCTCTTGCTTTATATTAACAAAAGTGCACATGTATTGCGTGTATGTAAAAGCATTGACAATTAAAACACTAATCTCCTTTTTTACGAAATATTTGGATTAACAATATGAAGGTGTTGCACACATCTACTAGCAAAAAAAGCATCCGCATTACACGTTTGAAATATTAATTAATGAAAAGAAGAGAAAAAGTGAAAAAGAAAAAAGAAAAAAGAAAAGAAGGAAAAGAGAAGAAAAGAAAATAAGAAAATAAATAAATAATTGGAAAATATTAAATATTAGTAAAAATTGTCCATGTTAGCGCCATCTGTGCCACATAGGACGGTTGGAGTCCACGTCAGTGATTTTCGGCCAAAATTAATCGAATTGAGTTAATTGGCAAATCGTAAAAAAGTTTAAGACTCAATTGGCAAAATTGAAAAGTTTATGACTGAATTAGCAAAAGTATAATAGGTTCTTGACTTTTTGGATAATTTTCCCTACTAAAGTCAAAGTAAACACACATTTGGTTCTAACTTTGGGCTTTGTTAAGGGCCTAATTCCCTAAAAAACTACAAACTTTAAGTCAAGTCTCACTTTTATCTCAAACTTTTTTTTGTCTCGTAAAAAATCCTCAACTTTAGTTTTAGTCCAAAATCTGCCCACACGACCAAAAATCGCCTCTAGTTTACTCAAAATTATCGACATTAGAACCAGTTAGAAGTTCATTGCATTTTCATCAACACTCTCACCTTGTAAGGAACAACATCACCCTCCTAATTTTAATAATACTGAAAAAATCAGTGGCGATTTTTAGATGTGTAGACTAATTTGGGACTAAAGTGAAAGTTAGGGATTTTTTATGTTACAAAAAAAAATTCGGGACAAAATCGACACTGAACTAAAAGTTGAGGGCTTTTTAGGGAATTAGTACCTTTTTAAAAGCAGTTTCGGAATCAAAATGGCTAATACTTTAGGGGCCAAAATTGCTTTTTTTTTTGAGGTCCTAATGGGAGTAAATTTTATTTTATTAATTCCATTTGTAGAAATAGTGTGACGGATTATAACATAATAAGAAGAACATAAAATCAATCGTAAGGTGGTTTAGTTCAACCTTCACTTCCCATTGAGAACATCGCATTTCCACTCTTCCCAAGTTATATTTAAAAGAACTCTTCACAACTTATTTAGATCCAACCCATCTCTATAACTCTCTCTCGCCCTCACTTATTCTCGCACTTACTCACTTCGTGCTCTCATCGCAGTTTGGGTATGAGTTTTTCTAAATTTGATTAAATATGGAAGTGTTTTAGTAATATGGGTTGGGTCACTAGAATTGTATTACGTGAAAATTGATCAAAACGGGTTAGATGAGTTAATTTAAGTTGGACCATTTTCAACCCGACCCAACACATCCATTTGATAAGTGTCCCTCATAGTCATTGGACTCTTTTGTCCACCCACACAATTCACGGTCAACCTATTGGAAAAAGATTCAACGTATGTTGAATCAAACACGTTTAAAGTAACGATTAATACCACGAAAAACCCTAAACTGATACAGCTGTGATAATTTTATCCCAAACTAATATTTTGACCACTAAAAACCCAAAACTGATACACATGTGACAAATTTACCCTTAGTTTATTTCCGTTAAATTTTACTGTCAAATTGCTTTGTTAAATGACACACGACAGTTGACTGATGTGCCAATTTTATGTTTTACCCTCCGTTTGTCGTAGGTGTAACAATTTATGATTTTTTTTGTATTAATTCAATTTAACGGAAAATAACGAAGAGTAAATTTATCACAAATATATCAGTTTTACGGTATTAACCCTTAAAGTAATTACCTAACGTGCATGGAAAGGAGGATAAATCAGGTATTAATGAAGTCCCAAATGCAAAATAGCCCATTGTTAGAGCAGGGGAGAGAGAAGGAAGAAAGGTGCAATCCTTGAAGCGCTAAGCAGCCCAAGCTAAAAGGCTTTTGGGCTCAATGGAAAAGTCATGTACAGTGAGGCCCATCTGCAAATCCACATAAAATTCCATGGACATGGACCTTATGACATCCCTTACACAAATTGTCCAATCAAATCCATCATGTACAATCAAGTCCATCTGCTTAGGATGCCAAAGTGTGACGTAAATTAAATATTGGCTTTGTGGACACCCACCATGACGCGTGGATATTGAGCACACTTAACTCTTTTTGTTGGCTCGGTGTGCTGATCTCCAACCCATTCACTATGCACCATGGATGGCAATACTTAATACACATCAAGCTTCGATATCCTTTGATGGTCAAGTCAGCTAAATTTAGCTTGATTCGGTGCTGAAGGGACTTGATCAAACATTTTATGTAATACTAGTAGAGTGACCCGATTAGAAAAATTAAAAGCACAAAGACTTTATTAGAAAAAGTTGTGAAAGTATAGAGATTGAAAATAGTTTCAACTTTTCCTACAAAAAAGTTGCACATATCAAAACATTCCATAATAATGCTACCTTGTCTTTTTTCACAAGTTAGGCAAAAATGTGAATGCGCATAACTTTTGGTAAAGTCACTTTGATCCATGAAAAGGACAAAATAACTTTGGGAGAAACTATGGAACGGTTAAGAGCTTGAGGGAATCCGAATAAAGGGCCTTGATGTGAAAGAAGTGGAAAAATTCCCTCTAGCTTTCTTCATTCCAAAGTTGACAAGCTACGGCAACAGCCAGCCACGATTTTTTCCCAAAGGACAAGTTTTCTTTAATTTTTTTGACCTAAATGTTTTCTTTTCCTTTCAATTTGGTACAATTAGCATGTTATGGAACTATGGAAATGCTGCATTTAACCCACTTTGATCCACACATTGTTGTCAAAGCATAAAGATTGTTTCCTATGCTTGAACATTTGTCAAGGAGGGAGTATATGTACCGTGTAAAACAAGCAAAAAGTAGGAAGATTCCCAATGCTCATCTTTTCAATCTTCCTGAAAGGGATAATGACACAAATAGTCCCTGAATTTTTGCTTAATATATAAGTTGATCCCCAAACTTTTAATTTGTTCAATGTAGTCCCCAAACTTTAGCCTAATGTTTAATTTGATCCCTAAACTTTTAATTTATTCATTGTGGTCCTTAGACTTTTGATGCATGTTCTATATAGTCCTTGAACTTGAATTAATGGAAGGACTACATTAAAGATTTTTATTAATTCAGGGACTGAATTGAACATGTACCAAAAGTTCAGGGATGACATTGAACAAATTAAAAATTTAGGGATCACATTGCACATTGGATTAAAGTTCATGGATGACATTGAACAAATTAAAAGTTGATGGACCATATTGCATATTGGGCCAAAGTTCAAGAACCGTTTGTGTCATTTTACCTTTTTGGAACGACTGGATCAAATTTTTTAGATGATTTGTCTGTTTATTGAAAAAAAGTTTTAAATTTTTTTTTTGATACCAAACTCATCATTTGATACGAAAGATTTAATAACCTCTTTTTAATATTTTTGTTGGTGTTTTCTTTTTAATATCCAGGCGACATACCCCTTTTACTAAAGAGTGAGGTTTTTAGGTGAGGTTGTGGCATTAATGTAGGGTGACAGTGTTTTTTGGCCATTTGAAATTACATCTATTGGCTTTTTGGTGCTTTTTTCATTTATTTAGTTGCCCTTCGCTTGCATTTTTCTACTACATGATACGTGGATCTGGTGTTATGTGCATGGAGTTCATACAAATGATATTGTCTGCTACATGTCAATAACTTGCTTTATATGTTGATTGTGCACAAGAAAAGATCATTACGCCGATAAACAAGTGTGTTTTTAGCCCATGTTCCGCGCATAATCGGAGGAAACTCATTACTGAATTTTTTTTTTTTCGGCTAAAGGGCGGGCAGGGGCGATCAGTGCATGTGACTTTCTCTAAGGGTTATTTTAAGAGTTCATACCCATTATAGAATGTCCAAATTGCGCCATAACTACTTCGCACATCCGTGACCCAAAAGTCTAAGATTGGTATTGATGAGCCCGCACTGCAACCCCATCAAGATCTAGCGAACAAGAAGTCTCTTCATGCAACGTATGCCACAAGTAGGCAGCGCAGCACAAGCTGTTTGCTCAATGTCAATCGAACTTGTGACTTTGCGGAAGACGGGTGATCCCTTTACCATAGCAACCTTGGTGGTAAAATCACCGTTAAATAGTGAACAATTTGCTTTGCATATAGTTGTGAATCTTGGACGACTAATAAGTGTTTGTCAGTTCCGACACAAATAAAATATGGAAATATAATGAAACTGAAATTTTCTACTAAGGTTTCTTGAAACTAAAAAAAGAGAAAATATCTACATTGAAAAATATTAATGTTATTATTTATGAAAGAGAAAATTTATAGCAAATGAAAGTAATGGTTAACATCTTTCTGTTAAAAGTTTAAAAAATCATTTTAAAATTGGGAAAACTATTAAGCTCGTGCAACGCATGAGTTGCCAACTATTAAATACATTATAACAAGTACTTCCTTAAGAACTGTATCTAATGGTAGCGCATAGGATCTAATTTGCAATCATTTGATCCTTCTTCTTGTAAGGAGTACTTTTCTTGCACTCCTCACTCATTTTGCTTCCAACTAGGTTTTATGCTCTAACTCATTAAATAATATGAGTTTTGTTTAACAAAAAAGATTACTCTTAATGAGCTTAATGTTGCAAATTAGCAATTATTGAAAAATCTCATATTTTTATTGTAGCTCATTCTATTAACTATTTACTTGGAAGGTATTTCGTTATTTTCTCTTAATATTACAATAATATTGATAATTACATATAAAATTTGCATGTGTCATATGTTGGACAATTAGGAATTTTCCAACGGTTGTCAAGTCTCTATATTTTCATTAATTTATAATATAAATCAAGATCTGCATTTTTATTTTATCGACAGAAGAAGATTCATGTGAAAATGATATAATCTAACTAATAATTTATACTAAAACACACATATCAATTTTACACAAACAAAGATTTTGTATGCCACTGGTTAGCATATGGTAAGGATCAATCATACATTCTTAGAGCACAAGGCTCAACATCAAAGCTGACCCAACATGCAAATCTCAACTGATTACATTAAACTCAAAGCTGCAATAATGATTCAATCCTCATTGGTTTCACCCATAATCCGAAATACTCATTGATCGAAAAAGTTTCTTCGATGACTTAATTAATTACATGCTAATGCTTATAACGTAAGACTTCTCTCTCATCATTCAATGATCCCAACTTCCCGGCTGTCAATGATGGAGATCCAGAAAGTTGTAGTCGAACCCAGACCATAAATATAAAAAAAGAGAATTGGTGTGCACAAATAATAATTCTTGCCTAACATTGAGCTGAATTTTGAGCTTTACGTGAAGGGTGGAAAGTTCTCATTGGTCAAACAAAGAGGAAACCTCTCAACATTTGCAATCTTGATCCTTGGCCATCTTTAATTCGAACACCTATCAAGGAATACATTAATGTCCTCACTTCGAGCTTCTTCTTCCGGTAGAAATTAATTGTGAGATCATTCCATCCGACAATCTTCGACCAATGAAAGTGCTATTTTAATTATTTACGACGTGCCTGAAATTTTGTTAACTCAATATGCTTAGGCGTGCCCAACTTTACACACGCCCTCTATTAGAAAAATAATGCGTGACAACTGTGCCTTTTATTTTTCATATCACCAGATATCCTCCCTTCACCACACCCTACCCCCATCATCTCTCTCTCTCTCTCTCTCTCCGCCGCTACCATGACTAGCTCGTGTGTCGACTTGGCATTGACGAGATCCAGAGACCAGATGTGTGGGTTTCCTTCGTTGCCGGCGGCAATCCACAGAATTGGAGAAGGAAGGCACCGGCATAGTGGCAGTGGAGACGACATGATAGACTTGGAAACAATGAGGCCATAGCTTGGCGGCGGCGACTGTAGTAAGGCTGGTTGAGGAGTGGAGGGAAAGGGGTGGGGGGAGAGAGAGGAGAAGTTTTCTTTTACTAATTTTTTCATGTAAATCATCACATGTACTGTCAAGTAACACATTTTTAACAAAAAGTCGACCTAAAATGGGGTTGGCCTAGACCTGACCAAGTTTTTACCTACTTTTCAATACTACATATAAAGAGTCATCAGACCTCAGACAAATTAAATCGCTTCAGTATTATCCTGTTTTATATATATATCGAAAAGAAGTTCCCTATGGTAAACACGATTAACCTAGATTCATTTTGTCTCACATTTAAAATAAATTCCTCTCTGCATTCTTTCATAGTTATCGAGTGGATGACACCTATATCTTGTCCCTTTTCTTCTAGAGGCGTGTAGAATAAAAATCGAGCTGAGACATGGACCTACAACTTTATCCCTGCCTATAAATATGGACTCCCACACCAAGCAAACTTCATATAATTTCATTTCTGCTCTATAAGATATGCTCTTATTATTATCTTCTCTCAAACCCTATTCAAATAGTCTCTACGCATACGCACAAACTCTCTCTCTCTCCATCTCAACTTGAGCACCAAACAAGATAAAGATGGACCAAACTAACCATCAAAAGCTGAGTCGTTTCACAAATTCTCAATTCCTAAAGAAGCTCACAAAGCTGTTACTCTCCATCTCTGTGTTCTCGCTGTTGTTCTCGACCTCCAATTTCCTCTCTTTCCTCCAACCGTGGCACTTCCACCTCTCCACATTCCCGCTCCGCCTCGTCACCCACGCCGTCGACAAGAACTACATCTTCCTCCTCTGCAATGGCATCCTCGTCTTCCTCGCAAAGAACTCGGGCTTTATCGGCACCAAGACCAGGTCCCGGCGCGGCACTAGCCATAAAGAGCCTCCCAAAGAGACCTTGTACATGATGGAGAATAAGTTGCTCACCACGGACATCGATGACAGAGTTTTCCCTGACGTTGCGCATGAAGATTTCGCCCTTGAAGAAGAAGGGAAAACGTTGAATAATAACAACAATAATCATGATGACTGCGTGGTCGAAGTAGAAATAGGAAACGTGTGCTTTCACGCAGAAGGATGTGCAAAAGACGACGATGACGACGACAGAGAAGAAGAACAAGAAGATAATATCCATTTTTCGACTTTGGAAGCCGGAAACATAGTTTCAATATCTGATTCCGACGGCAACGAGGAACTAGATGAATGTGGAGGGGAGAGAGAGGATGAAACAAGTGAAGATTACAACGATGGGAATAATGTGATGACGGCAGAGGAGTTGGACAAGAAGTTCGACGAGTTCATTCGTAGGATGAAGGAAGGAATCATGATCGAAGCTAAACAACAACAGCAACAACAACTTCTCATGGTCTAACGTGTAATTACATGCTTATTAAAGTACTAGTTCTGGAATTATATGTAATAAATATTACTCTTCTCGAATGGATTGTATAGGTTTGTATAATGGCATTTGCTACCTATTTCCGAGTAATTTTTCTCGAGCCCTTCTTCTGTCTTGGCCTTTTAATAGCGAACATATCATAGATATTCTATTTAAACAATCTTATAGTCAAGACAAAACATTCAAAAGCTAGCTCTATAAGATGATGCCCTTTCCACTTCTTTGTTGTGCCGGGCTTTTCCTTACCGGAGCGCGCTATAAGGTATTTTCGTTCATTATGAATGATAAGATGTTTTATTATTAAATGAACGAGGGTATCTCCCTGACCATATCTCACGAGACAGCGGGTACTTGTTATTTTGTTTTCTATTTAGCTTATGTTTCGTTTTGGAGTCGCCACTAGTCCTTAATGATTGACTAGAAACCGAATCTAGATAGGAGAGAACCATCCCGATTGCTGCGAACTAGAGATTTCATGGGTAGGGGGACATAATTACGTTAACGGTCCCTATACCGAAATCCCTAACGCCCTTTCAGTACTTAAAACGATTCAAAATGTCTAACGAGTCATGCGATTTCTCGAGGTCTATCCACTAATTCTAACCATTCCAAATGAAGAGGAATCAATCAATAAGGAAATGTGGAACCAATTCAAATCACAACCAGCAATCCTAATATTATCCCTAAAAGGAAAATCAATCAAAACAAACAAAACCTAGTGAAGCCCTAGAGGCTTGTTCATTTTAAGGATTGTGCTGGTTTTTGGGATTTTAGGGTTTTTTAGGGGTTAAGCCTCTTTTCATCCCTAAACTAAGGAGTCTTCAAAAGTACCACTCGTGCACCCAAAAAAAATCTAATTTCACTCAAAATAAGTGGCCACAAGTATTCTAAGTCATTCTGTGAATTTTTGGAATTTTTAATTTTTAATTTTTGATTTTTTTCAAGAAAAGTTTTATTTGATTTTCTCACTTCCCAGAAATCCAAATTTTGATTTTTATAATTTTCCAATTTTTTTTTCGATTTCTTTTTACACTTTTATGAAATTTCTGAATTTTTGTTCTAATTTTTCTTGTTTTTGGGAAATTTTCTAATTTTTCTGGTTTTTTCTGGAAATTTTCTGATTTCCATGGATTTCCTGGAATTTTCCTGAATTTCCTGAATTTTTCTGAATTTTCTAGATTTTTCTGAATTTTCTGGAATTTTCCTGGATTTTCTGGATTTTTCTTGAATTTTCCCGAAATTTCTAAAATTTTATGATTTTCTGATTTTTATGAATTTTTGTAATTTTATTAATTTTTATTATTTTTTATCGAATTTTTTATTCCCGAAAATAACCGAACTGGTTCAGACCGGTCCGACCAAGTTGGACCGACCTGAGCCGGCGGGGACAGTGCCAAACGGCGCCGTTCTTTTCCACTTTCTTTTTGGCATTTTGTCGAGCATTTCATGTGCACCAAACACCTATGGTATCCTACTTCCACCGCTACTTTGGCTGCCGCTCCGATGACCTTCCGCCAGTGTTCTGACCACCGTAAACAGCCCTAAATCTTCCCCTAGTCACCTTCTAACTATCAGCTCCCATTAGACCGCCATTGAACCACCACTAGGACGGTTCCTAAGCCGAAAATCATGACCTAAAACTAACCTAAACTAGCTTATCTAATAACCAGATTAGACCTCAAAGCATTCTATCCATTCCAATCAGTCAAATCATGAATTTAACCTTAAAATGATCGGAATGAACCGACTTGAATGGCCGTTTGCCATGGGGAAATGCACTGGTAGGGTCTACCGGCTCCGGCGATGGGATTTTGAAGGCCGACTCAATGCAAATGCCAAACCACCGATCTTTGTCGTCAAAGGCCAAAGTTGAATTTCTGAACCACCAGCAGACCACGATTCGGTCCCTTTACACTTGCTTTATTAGCTCACAGTCTCGGATTTGCTAAGAAAGTCCTAGATCGGACGATCTAGGCCATGTTTCACCTCTTCGCGTCAGCTGTCTTGACAAAGTTTGGAGGAGGAGGTCACTCTCACCGGTCGATTCGCCGGCGCTCTTCTGATCAAGGTGATGCCGGACACTCAGCTGTGGGACCTCTACTCTCTCCCTTTCACTTTCTCTCTCTCGTTTTGTCTCTAATCTTTCTTCTCTCTCTGTTTTGCTTTTCGTGGAACAGGTTCTGTGTGGGAACTAACATCTCCCAACTGTTTTTCTAGTTCGATTTCCCGCCCTTTTTTTACTCTAACCGACTCCCCAGTCAGTTAGATCGGATGAGGGTGGACAGCTAGAGATTCTCCAGCTGTCCACTTCGTTTTCCACGTGTTAGAAATGGAAATCCAAGTCGGCAAAGGGGTGAGGCTAACCAACTATTTCAATCCCCTTTCCTACATGTGCCCAGTCTGAGTGAAGAAGAAGACCAACTTGGGTCGAGTCGGGTCCGATCCGACCGACCCGGCAGATCCGGGTTGGTCTAATTTTACAAATTGGACCCTATTTTGTCCCAATTTCATGATTTTAACCTCACATTTAGACTCCTCGACACATTTTGCTCTAAAATAAAGGATTTGTTTGAATTTTTACCACAATTAAGCCCAAAAACCCTTAAGTTTAATTCGGGTAAAATGGGTTTTCATTCAATTGAAAGTCTAAATGGCCTAATTTTGTAGAATTGAGGTCAGAATTGAATTACCCATGTTCAATTACCCTTAGGGAATGTATAAGTTTTGATCAAAAATGTCCAATTGAACGAAATCCCCCATTTATGTCTTAAAATCTCTAGTTTTCAATTAATTTTGAGGCTTTTCAATTATTTTGTCAAATTGTGAAATTGGACTGACCAATATGAAATTCAAGGTCCCAGAATCAATTGTTGTGAAGACACTATAGCCCAAAAATGACTAGAAATAACTTAATTGGATTTTTGGTTTAATTAGGATATGAAATTACCCAAATTTGGAGAAAACATATACTAAATTGAAATTTTGTAAACTAAAGTTTCAGGGCTAAAATAAGAATTAAAATAATACTAATGACTATTTTTGGGAAATTTTTGGAGTTCGTTTGGTATTTTTCTTGATTTTCTTCCTTTTTTTGCCAAAAGAAATTGAAGAAAAATTAAATAAAAATCTAGAAAAATTATTTTTGTTTGGAAATAGGTTCCTAAGCATGGCCAAGGTTCTTAATCCTAATTTTGTGATTTTTATGTAAAATTGAAAATTAGACAAAAAATATGGTGTCAACATTCTTGTGGATCATTAATCTACTCTGAGATTGCATGCTTAAATAGAGACTTTAGGGTATAAAAATAGGGAGAATTACCAAAAAAAATTCTTAAACTTATTACAATTGTGTCAATTCAATCATAAACATTTTTTTACCAATTGAATCATAAACATTTTACATTCGTACCAATTTATTCCATCCGGTCAATTTTGGTCGAACAACGCTGACATGGACACCAGCTATCCTACATGGCGCAACTGGTGGACAATTTTTTAATAATATTTTAATTTTTTTTTTGAAATTTTTATTTACTTTTTCTTTTATTTTTCATTTATTTCTTTTCTTTCTCTTTCTTTTTTTTTCCTTCCCTTCTTCCTCTAGTTGGTCACCGAATTTCGGGGACCGACCAGAAGTGACGGCCGGCAATGTCGATCCTTGCCCGCCCCTAGCGAGGCTCAACCTCGCCGTCGCCATCGCCATCGTCGAGGGAGGGCGAGCCTCGCTAGTGACCGATGAGTTCAACCTCATCGGCCCTTGCCTATGGCCAATTGCTGAGGTCTGATAACCGGCTAGAGGAAGACGGGAAGAAAATAAAAGAAAGAGAAAGAAATGAAAAATAAAGAAAAATAAATAATAAAAATAAATAAATAATGCAAAAACTACTAAAAATTATTTAAGTCAGCGCCGGCCACACCACATAGGACAGCCAGCGTTCATGTCGGTGATTTCCGGCCAAATTGATCAAATGAACTAAATTGACACAAATACAAAAGGTTTAGGACTCAATTGGCCTAAAAAAAAATTGGGTTAATACCATGAAAAACCCTGAACTGGTACACTTGTGACAGATTTACCTCAAACTATTTTTTTGACCATAAAAAACCCCAAACTGGTACATCTGTGACAATTTTACCCCGAACTATTTTTTTGACAACTAAAAACCCCAAACTGGTACACCTGTGACAATTTTACCCCAAACTATTTTTTTGACCACCAAAAACCCCAAACTGGTACACCTGTGACAATTTTACCCCGAACTAATTTTTTAATATTATTTTTTTATTTTTCGAATTTTTTTAGTTTTTCTTTTCTTTTCTTTTTCCTTTCCTTTTCTTTTTTTCTTTCCTTCATCTTCATTGGACCAACAATGGATTGTTATATTGTAATTGATACCACAATAACGTGACACGTAACATAAATGCTACATTTTGACCCAAAAAAAAAAAACATAAACGCTAAATGAAAGACTTTCTTTTATATGCATGAATTTTCATGCCAACCACTTTTTTCTACATTTAAATGTCTCGCGAAAAAGGTATTATATTGTTGTCGTGTCTTTCTTATTTTTGGGTGCAAGTGGATAGGCAAACTGATGGGGTCCAACGTAGGCTTGTTACCTAAGCTTGGAGTACAGCTAATCAACAATTTATATACGTCTTGCTTGCCAATTTAATTTAACATATTAATTTACAAAATTAGTATATTTTATATATAAGATGAGAGATATTATATGTGTATGGCGATTCATAAATCAATATGATCACTTGAAATATATAATAAATAAAACGTGAGACATTTAAATGTAGAAAAAAGTGGTTGTCATGAAAATTCATGCATATAAAAGAAAGTCTTTCATTTAGCATTTATGTTTTTTTTTTGGGTCAAAATGTAGCATTTATGTTACGTGTCACGTTATTGTGGTATCAATTACAATATAACAATCCATTGTTGGTCCAATGAAGATGAAGGAAAAAAAAAAAGAAAAGGAAAGGAAAAAGAAAAGAAAAGAAAAACTAAAAAAATTCGAAAAATAAAAAAATAATATTAAAAAATTAGTTCGGGGTAAAATTGTCACAAATGTACCAGTTTGGGATTTTTGGTGGTCAAAAAAATAGTTCGGGGTAAAATTGTCACAGGTGTACCAGTTTTGGGTTTTTGGTGGTCAAAAAAATAGTTCGGGGTAAAATTGTCACAGATGTACCAGTTTGGGGTTTTTTATGGTCAAAAAAATAGTTTGGGGTAAATCTGTCACAAGTGTACCAGTTTAGGGTTTTTCGTGGTATTAACCCTAAAAAATTTAAAACTAAATTGACACAATTGCAATAGGTTTAAGACTTATTTTTATAATTTTTCCTATAAAAATAGGTGTCACTAATTGGGAAATATCAATAGAGTCTCATATGTGATTTCTGGGATATGATCAATTTAAGACGACGCCTTTAGTTCATCAGACACTTAGAGCCCATGTGAAAGTGATTGTTGTGTGTGATTTTGATTGTGTGGATTGCACGAATTGATGAATCACAATTAACATTAAATGCTACTATTCTTGGCTTTCTAGGTTTAGGTTGAGTCACAGCCATATATATCCTTGGCCAATTTGGCATTTTTTTGGTTAACGTAGATATCAAACAATCACTAATAACCATCCTTACCAAAAAAAAAAAAAAACAATCACTAATAACCACTGTATCTCTTTGATGGACCGTCCAACCATCTAAGAGAGTGTCATTTACTTAATTTCCTTTTGCTGTAGCATAGGATTATTCTAATACATGATATATTAGTTAGGGTTTGGCTAAATAGTGATTTAGGCTTCATTTATTTCACAAAAAATAGATGATTTGGAAAGCATTTCCTAAAGTGATAACTTGTATTGACTTGAAATAATTAGTTAATAAAAAAATTCATTTACAACAACAATTTATATCAAAAATATTTTTGTGAATGGTGAAAATATTTTTCATTCATTCATTTTTGTAATCAATATAAACTATCATTTTAAGGAAAAATATTTTTCAAATTATTTATTTTTTATGAAACAAACAAAACCTTGCTCTTATCAAGATGGTCATGAATTTGGTTCTCTTTCTATACTCTCCTAAAACCTTATATTTATAAATGTAATCCATTAAAGTAGAGAAACCATCACCACCCTCAAAAGGAGAAGGAGAAAAATGCCCACATTTCCCATGCATTCAAGCATTTGCTGGTATGTCAATTCCACCCATATCCACATATAATGGGGGACAAAAGCATAAATTCAGATGTGACACTATAGTTACAAATCCCAAAAAGAAGATTCACTTTCCTTCAAGGAGAATAAAGATCAAATTGATGAACAAAGAAATATAATTCCCAATATTATACCAATGTTTCAAGCATCAACTAGACACCTGTACTTCCTTTTATCAGCACACAGAATCTCCAGTTCTATCTTTGATTGAATTGCACGTGGGGTTCTCAATCTATAACACTCCCATTGCTTAAGCCACCTGGACTTTTAGGGTCTGTTTAGTAACGTTTCTGTTTCTTTGTTTTTCTGTTCTTTTGTTCCCCGGAACAGAAAAAGAACAGAAATCCGTTTAGTAAAAAAAATCTATTTTTTTTGTTTCTGGAACAAAAAAGTGTTCCAGAAATAGATTTGGAACAGAAACAAGAAGCAAACAAAATATGCTTCTTGTTTCTAGAACAAGAAAAAAGAAACGATTTTTTTTCTAGAATTCTCCAAAAATAAGAAACAATCCATCGGCCGCAACCCCCCCATTGCTACCTCTCACCGGCGAAGGCCGTCCTTCGCTGCCACCTACCGCCCGCCTTCCGCCGCCGCCGCCCACCAGCCAACGCTCACCGGCCGCCTCCCGCCCGCTGGCCGTCTCTTGTCGTCGACCACTGTTCTCCGCCGCTCGACGCTTGTCGCCACCCGCCACCGGCCGCCATCTTCCACCGCTGGCCGCCGTGCTCCATCGCCCGACGCCGGCCGCCACTCAGC